GGGCCAGGCCCTGTGGCCGAGTGACAGGGTCACACTGGCTGCTGCTTCCATGGTGATCAGAGAGCACAGGGGTAGCAATGACAGTGTTCTCCCCACGGTCTCCACTCACATTAGGGTACACTGGCTTAGCACCCTATAACCCTGGAGCGCTGTGGCTTCCCAGAGCAAACAGCACCCATCTGCAACCCATTCGCATCCAGCAAGGATATTAATGCTCTGTCCTCCCACTGACAGGCAGCTTCACAGAGTGCTTGCAGCTTCCTTTGGAGAAGCAGCACCTGAGAGACAGCTCAGGGCCTTGGGCTGACACCTCAAGAGATAAGACAGAGGAGCTGGGTACCTGCTCATCTCACCATGCCACATGTAGCCTTTTTCAAAGTGGTGTATAGGAATGACACCTGTGAAGTGCCTCCTTCCTCACCAGCCACTCAAACTGAATCTTTCTACCAGGCGAAGTAGGTGCCTTGTGTGCCCTTGCCCAAAAAAGGTCCCCCAAGCACTGATCCTGCTCAGAGGAGAGGCTGAAGAGCTCAGCTAGAAGAGCGAGGGACACTCCCACAGCATGCACCCTCCTGCCAGGTCCCAGATACTCCACTCTGAGGGCCAGGGGCTACTCACAGTCTGCTCTATGTCTGCAGCCTCCTCCCGGGGCATGCGCTCCAGGAAATCTGAGTAGTGCTTCAGCCCCACAGCTTGCTGGCTGGTGAGGGTCGCCTTGGTGCGGATATCGTCCAGCGTCCGGAAACCCTAGTGCACAACACGTGGTGACATTCAAACATCTACTGAGACTTTGCTCTTCAAATACTTTCAAGCAAGATCTGGGGAGATTGCACTTAACCTGTCTCAAGCCCAGGCCAGTCAGAGCTTCTGAGATCACATGTAGAGACCACTTAGGGTCTGGTTCCTAAAATAAGGGATTTAGGCAATCCCACTAACCACACACTTCTAATCTCCACCCCACAATGACTCTGAATCTTTACTAAACCTGACAGAAGGCTCCTGTTCCTAAGGCACTGTGTTCTTCCAGCTTGAAGGAAAACAAGTGACGCAGGTAAAGGAACAACATCCAGAATATCCCAGTGAGGGAAAGCCTCGTTGTGGGAACACAACTGTATTTTTAAGACAGTAAAATCCAGTCACAAAACAAACACTGCAGGAAACCAGACTTAATCAGTTCTGTGCTCAGGAAACATAGCTTTTAAAGAAGGAACCCACCCAGTGGCCTGGGTTGCTCATGTTGGCACAAGTACTTTAAAGTCATTTTTATAGCTGCCAGACGAGGTGGATGGCTGCTCTGACAGCTACAGGAGCCAGCCAGGCCAACAGGCCACTAACTGGATCAATAGCTCCTGTGGCCAAGATGTCCTGGCTGCTGGCTCTTAGCAGTGTCACTGCAGTGACCAGTGTGAGAGAAACTCCAAGCAGCTAGGCCAGCAGAAGTGGCAGTGTGTCCCCCACTCCTCTTAGCACACATCTTTGTCCTCTAACCCCACCCAAACTCAAGTCTCAGCTGGGTGCACTGCATTCTCCCCAAACACACACAAAATGGGACCCAGCCTCCCAGTTCCTCCCATCACACCAGACCCAAATCCCACTTCAGGATACTGACAATTGAAAACTATTTGTGAAAATAATTCTCCTACACTCAGCAGCAGGCTTCAAACCCTGGTCTAAGAACCTCTTGTGTAAAACACTAAAGTTACCTGATGGTACCACATCTGAGCTGTCTTGACCCCTACTCCCCAGATGTTGGAAAACAACTCCAGCACAGGCACACTCTCACTGATGTGATCCAGTTTGCGCAGGTGGCCACTCTCCAAGATCTCCATGATCTTCTCTGCCATCCGTTTCCCAATCCCAGGGATTTTACAGGCTTCCTAGCAAGAAACCAGAGCTGCTACAGGAAAAGTGAGGGCTACAGACCAGCTGGGGAGCTGCCACCCACTCACAGCCCTGTTAGTCATTTGATCAGTGATCACCAAGTGGCAGGACTTACTCTGCCTGATGGTCTCTTGTCTAGCCCAGGCTTACACACGTTACATTGATTCAGTGCCAGGTGGAAAATCAGTGCAGAACAAGGACTGAAACACTAACACACTGGACTGTTAGACTGTTACAGCCAATCAGGCCTAGATACAGTTAGCTTTATGTATTATCTTCAATGGTGGTACTTGCTGATGCCTAAGACGAAGATGAAAATGTCCCTGCATTGAAACTGGAGAAGGTTTTTTTATCTCAAGGGGGCTCAGATCTGGACCTAAAAGTCTCAGACTCCCCTTTTCTGCTCACCTGAAAACACCACAGGTGGTCAATAAATAAAATTTGCATTTGCTATACAACTTCCATCAACACTCTCCCACTGGACAGATTTACCAAGGCCTGGTCCCACATACAGAATGGATTCTGCCTCAGAACAAAGCTAGGATGCTGGGTCTATCTCCCTGCTCCATCAACCTCAGAAGGTGTTTTACCTGGTAGGAGGTGACTGGTTTGTGGTAGCTCTTGAGTGCATTAATGGCTTTGGAGTAGCCCAGAGCTCTCCACTTGTCCCCTTGGACAGAATAGGCCTTTGCCAGCACTTCCAGCTTCTCTGTGATGCACTGGTTGTGATTTTCCTTCTTGTTGTTGGAGGAATGGGCACAAACCCACTTGCTGGTAGGCTGGGCCACTGTGGAAGAGCTGTCACTGTTCTCCTCCGACAATTTCACAGGGTAGCAGCCAGAAATCAATGCTTCCAGATCTCCCTGGGTGACATTAGCTTCTTCTCCTTCACTGTCTTCATCATCAGAGTATTTCTGCAGGGACAGGTAGAAAAGCAGCCATGTGAGAATAAGTGCATGGCTCACATATGTCCCCTTGGCACAGGCTGCTCCTGAAAGAAGGAAGTCAGAGCACTAACCAACCTCCAGGGCATGCAGGGCTCAAATTGCCAGCTCTAGAAGTGGTTGCTTATATGCACACCATAGCTCTTCATGCCTCAAGCTACACATGCACCCCTTGAAGTTCCATGAACATCTCAAAGCACAGGAGACCAGAGACTGCTGTCCACCTGTGATCCAAGCACACACAGACACCCCTATAGTCAAGCTCCTGAGACCTAACTGAGGTAAAACACTGGTTAAGTGAACAACTGCTGCCAACAGCATGGTATGACAATGCTGAAATACCTGACTGGGGGAGTTAGTGACTCCCTGCTCCCACTGGGCAGCTGTCTGTTGGCTGCACAGACACATCTCTCACATTCAGACTCTGCACCTTCCACTCCATGATGCAGATGACAGGAGATAAGCACTGTTTTCACGTTACAGACACAAAATCTTCACAGGGTAGTAAATTACAACCCCCCCATTTTCCCCATGGCTATCTGCAAGAGAAAAGGAGGAGGAAGGAATGACACAAAGGACTCCACATTCCTTAGTGACAGAAGAAAGAACCAATGTATACATTTGCTGATACCCTCAGCATTAGGATGCCTCTGTGTAGACTTAAGAAACAATGAGCCTTGGCTTCAGGTAACTAACAAAAGGGGATAGAAGTGGGAAGCTGCAGAAAGGCTTTGGAGGCTGCTTTGCTCACTGGGGTCCCCTCTCTCTCCTGATGTACAAACACAGGAATTGTGCAAGCAACCCTGAGTGGCTCAGGGCTGTTTGGGATCAGTCCAGCTATTACATGCAGCACACAAGTCCTGTTAGGAGTTTCTGCAGAGTATCAGCCTAATGAAGTCAGAGCCATATCCTTATAACCTCTGGTTATAGACTAATGAGGTCTGACGATGATTCCGGCAAGATACAGAGCTGAAGTCTTTAGGCAGAAGAGGAAGGATGTTTCCCTTCTGTAATCTTGTTTTATAACTCTGAAAACTAGGTCAGACTAAAGATTTGTTAGACTAAAGCACTTTTATTTGCTTCGCAACCCTTGAAATGCAACTCCCTTAAGACACTGTTCCCTCTAAGGGCAGCAAAGCCTCTAGAGTGTTCAGATTGGATAGAAAGCCCCTTAAAAGCAGTTAAGGAGCACATTACCCAACCACAATGCAAACAACTCTGCAGCTGGATCATGCAATTCCCACCCTCTTAGCCAGCAGTCACATAGGTGAAACAGCAACACAAGCGCCTGATTCTCTACCCTTCACCAACAAAGCTGATGGACACTTTTCAACCATACATGGAAAACCAGTTAGTCCCATTAGCTTCTAAGATGCTCCAGGATCCTACAGCAGCTGACTTGCTAGGGCTGGGTGAGACTGGGATGCACATGATTCGTCTGGAGCACAGCACAGGAGCTGGGATAGCAGCTGAAGCCCAGTAGTTGAGGAAACCTTCCTGAGAGGGAGGCAGGCAGCCAGGGGCAACATCCCAGGGCCCAGCCAGTGAATAACTGGCACCATTTGCACAAGCTGCCTTGCAGAAAACCACTGCTTCCAGGTGCCAGTCCCAAAGTGGGTGCTGCAGTCTGACTGAGTTCACATGCCACAGCAGAACTCCCAGAGCAGCTCCTGTTCAGTATGAGACACTGGCACACTCATCATCTCCTAGAGAAAAAAAACATCCACCTAAGCTAGAACAGACTCTGTGGTTAAAAGGAGGGTACTTCTAAGCTGATATCTCAGCTTCAGCTTTACTGTTGTAGCCAGATCTCAAAAGTAGTTGTGACTATCTTTAAAGCATATCCTATTGGTTCTCCTCTCCTCCCCAGACTCAGTCCTAAACTTGGGAAGAAACAATTTTACTGAAGTGTCTAACAAATATTATTTTTGTTCACAAACTAACAGGAAATATCATTGCTTGAGGAGACTTCAAAGAAAAAAAAAAGGCAATAAAGCTTCAGACTCTAGCAGCTGTCTCACCATCCAAAGTAGAAGAAGGTAGGGCAGATACCACAGGATCCCTAACAGTACAAAAGATCCTTTCTCCCATTAGGTGCAAGATTTGTTAATAACGATTGCTACTAAATTAGAGTTGCAAGAAACAGCAAAGATGGGGTAACTGCGAAGGTGATGCAGTTGAGAAGCAGCCAACTCTGCCTAGAGCACACTGGATAGTAAGTCTGGGGAGAAAAGATCCCTCCTGCACATATTCAAGAGGAAGCCTAAAACAAAGGAACCCTCAGCAGGTTGCCAGTTAGGGAGTAAATACAGGGTTTTGCACAAGACTTGGGACTTCGTTAGAAAACAGATGACAGCTTTACAAGGCTGCTGGTCTAGGGGGCCTGGAGTAATTTTGCTACTGATAGATTTGAATTGTGCTAACGCCCCAAAAAGAATTCAGCAAACTTAAGCAAAAATACAGAGAAAGGAAAGAAAGCTGACAGCAGGTTGGAGAAGCTGACTCACAGCAGGGGCCACTTAATAACCCAACACAGATATTTTAAGCACACCACCACGAGCATTTGAGTGGCAACCTGATCCACTGCACATGTGTCTGAACAGGGTGCTTGCCAAGGAGTGTAGAATGGGTCACTATGGCTCAGGCAGGAACATGGGATGAAATATCGGAGACAGCTTCCTGAAACAGAGATATTCTCAGCCAGGGAATATTCCTGAAAAGGACGCAGGGGAAACATGATCACCAGAGTGAGCCCTTGGTCTGATCAGAGCACCAGGGCTGCTTCAGCTGCAAATGTTCTGATGGGGACAGGAATTTAAGGGGTGTTGTTTCTACTTTTAACACCTAAAAGGAACAAAAACAAGCAGCAACCATGTCCACAGCCTGAGTCTGCCAGCACCAAGCTGCTGAAATACCCAAATGCCTTCCCTTGGCAGAGAAAATCTGTCATTGTCTCCCACAGGGACACTCTTAGCCAGGAAAAGCAGCATGCAGGACCTGTTCACAGGGAGAAGGGTCATGATGGAAGACTCACCTCAGCAGGA